TGGCCACCTTCCTCGTGGAAAATAGGACATGTGAAAGTAGACAGAATGCAGTCAGCACATTTCGGTGAGAGTTAGAGCTGAAAATGCCTTAAACTTAACCGAAAAAGGGCGTTAAAGAGGCGAAAATGCGAAACAGCCCCCGAACCACCTTGCGGATGTCACGGCCACCTTTCCCATCACAAATAGGACCTGTGACAACTAACGGAATGTAATTAGCACACTTAGTTTGGGAGTTAGAGCGAAAAATGCATTAAACTTAACTGAAACAGAGTGTTGAGAGGGCAAAAATGCGAATCAGCCCTCAATGCGAATCAGCCCCCGAACCACTATACAAATGTCACAGCCACCTTTCTCCTGAAAAATAAGACCTGTGACAGCAGACGTAATGTAATTAGCCCGTGTCGGTTGGGAGTTAGAGCAAAAAATGCCTTAAACTTAACCGAAAAAGGCCGTTAAGAGGGCGAAAATGCAAAACAGCTTCTGAACTAACGTACATATGTCATGGCCACCTTCCTCGTGGAAAATAGGACCTGTGACAACAGACAAAATGTAATTGGCATGTTTAGGTTGGGAGTTAGAGCCGAAAATGCCTTAAACTTAACTAAAAAAGGGCGTTAAGGGGGCGAAAATGCGAATCAGCCCCCGAACCATTGTACGGATGTCATAGCCACCTTCCCCGTGACAAATAGGACCTGTGAGAATAGATGGAATGTAATTAGCACGTGTAGATTGGGAGTTAGAGCCAAAAACGCCTTAAACTTAATCAAAAAATGGCGTCGAGGGGGCAAAAATGCGAATCAGCCCCTGAACCACTGTACCGATGTCATGAGCATCTTCCCCATGGAAAATAGGACCTATGACAATAAACAGAATGTAATTAGCACATTTAGGTTAGGAGTTAGAGCCAAAAACACCTTAAACTTAACCGAAAAAGGGCATTAAGGAAGCGAAAATGTGAATCATCCCTTGAACCACCGTACGGATGTCACGACCACTTTCCCTGTGACAAATAGGACCTGTGACAATAGACAGAATGTAATTAGCACTTGTAGGTTGGGAGTTAGAGCCAAAAACACCTTAAACTTAACCGAAAAGGGACGTTAAGGGAGCAAAAAAAAACGAAATAGCTCTGGAACCACCATAGGGATGTCACGGCTAGTTTCCCCATGACATATAGGACTTGTGACAACAAACAGAATGTCATTAGCATACGTAGTTTGGGAGTTAGAGCCGGAAACGACTTAAAATTTATTCGGAAAAGGGAGAGTTTGATATCCAATAAATGTTCAACATTTTCATTGTAAATGATGCCATTGTTTCATCATACACAGTGGTCATTTGGGTGGTAAACATATTAAGAAAGCATGATATGGTTATGGAGATAACCCCGTAGATTACTCAATCATTTTACTTTGATTAGGAAAATGAGAATGAAGAAGAGTTAAAATAAATTTACCACCAAAACATTCTATTCATAAAAATTGATTTTATGAAGAGGTATGCTCCTAAAAATTGTATTATTTGTAAATTGAAATCAAGTTTGGAATAAATCTTTCATGATACATACATATGATTGTATTTCGAAAAAATATTTTTATAGATTGTTCTACCTTAAATGCATGTTATTACAACATTTTTCCTACGTCTGAATGAATTGATATTTTGTAATGGGTGCAATTGTTTTTTTATTTTTTGTAGATGGCTTTTGGAGTGGACTTGTGGATAGTCTACATTTTTGTTTATGAAGAACACTTGACACTTTTGTATAATCTTGCTAACTATGTCTTCCTCTGCTTTTGTGAATATTAGCATTACGGATACATATAACTTTTGTAATCCAACTAATAGTAGCTAGCATGGCATATAGATCACCTTTTGTCGTGGTACAGATTACGATGGTAAGTTGTACCACGCCAAATGGCCATATCGTATGGCAGTAAATATATTTTTTGTATATGGTGGGTTGGATTTTTGTATGGAAATATAATTTTAGTTTGGACAATAGTTGGTTTGTATGGAATATATACATTTAAAGTTATTCATTTTTGGATGGTTGAAAGTAATATGGACTGTGGCATGATTGATAATTTTACATTGTGAAATGATGGATAGTATATGTAGTGTTTTGTTTATATACGTATTACAGGTTGCATGGAATATAGACAGGTTGTGAATAAATTTTAAATTTGCGATGAAACATAAGAGCATGTTTTTGGCGACTAAATTGTTAGTGGCTAAAAAAAAAATTTCGAAAAAAAAATTTGGCTACTAAAAGTTTAGTAGCCAAAAAAAACAATCAAACATTTGGCGACTAAAAAATTTTGCAGCAAAAAACAATCAAACATATGGTGACTAAAATATGTTGTAGCTAAAAAAATAAGCTGAAGAAATAAAAAAAAAAAAAAGAGAACTTTTGGCGACTAAAACTTTAGTAGCAAAAAAATGTGAGACTTTAGGCGACCAAATGTTTAGTAGCCAAAACACAAAATGTTTGCCGACTAAAATTTTAGTAGCTAAAAACATAAGACTTTAGGTGACTAAACCTTTAGTAGGAAAAATTTTTTTTGACTTTAGGCGACTAAAATCTTAGTAGCCAAAATATTGTTATTTACTTTAGGCCACTAATATATTTAGTAGCTAAAACTCTTTTCTGCGACTAAATGATTAGTTGTTAAAAATAACTAAACTTTTAGCGACAAAAAAATTAGTCACCAAAAATATGATATTTAATTTTATTTCAAACATTTTGGTGACTAAAAACTTAGTAAGCAATGTAGTACATTTGGCGACTAAAATAATTTTAGTCGCCAATGATCTTTCCCGACAATTCTTCCCCGACTAATTCTGCGACCAAATATTTTTGTCGCTAAAAGCCTTTGGCGACTAAATAGTCACTTTTGGCAACTAAAAATTTAGTCGTCAAAAGTGAAAATTCTTGTAGTGATTTTTTCAGAATTCTTTCATTGTTGAAAATGGCAAAAGAAAAGAGTTGGTTTCATCAATGGCTTTGGGGGTTAAAAACTCATTTTTGAAGAGCTAACTTATGAAAATAACATGGCTATAAAGCCTGTTGTTGAGCCAAACATGGTTAAAAAGGATATTCCATATAAGGCTTAGGGGGTTGAAAAACTCATTCTTAGAAAGTCAAGCCATGGAAATAACATGTCTATGGAGGATTTTCATAAGCCATTAATGGCTAAAATAAATAGAAAAAAAAAAGCCCCATTTGTCAATGAATGATGAAAGTTATTTGGCCAAAGAATATGTTCGTATACTAAAGGTGATTAAAGATGGTGATCAACCCACTGTTGATGGATTTATAATATTTGACGTTGTTGAAAATGTCAAAGCATTTGAATTTCCAAGGCTATATTATGCCATGACTTTTGGTGTTCAAAACCTATTTTGGATTTTTGGACTGCATCAAAATTTAATTTTGATGAAATGACTAATAAAACAATCATCTTTAAGCATTGTTCTTTTAAAGCTTCTAAAATATGCCACGAGCACCTTTGGAGTACGATTTTGGTTATTTTTTTTTTTTAACAAAATTGAATCATGTTAAAAGAACCTTCAAATGCGTGTCTCCCTTCGAATACATTAATTAATTGCCAAATATGGTCTAAATTGATGTACAACTCCTCATGAATTCGAGGTTCGTCATTCTGAAAGAATTGCGGGGGGTAATGTTGGCACCATAAATAAATAATTTTATTATTAGTTATTATCTATATAATTACAAGACACGTGGCACTCTCCTACTCATTTGAAGGTTATGAGAAGTTATGAATAATTAAACACATGTGAAAAGATGATAAAGGACAAAGTGGAGAACATGGAGCATGAATTGGAGGTTGAAAGAAGTTATGGAGGTATAGAGATGAAGTGGAAGATCATAGAGTATGAAGTGTGGGATATGGAAGGATATGGTAGTTATTAGGTAGTTTTTTTCTACAAATGTTTGCCTATAAATAGCCATTCATGGTTATATTGTAAGAGATCTAGAACTCAAATTAAAGACAATTTTTTTTTTTTTTTGAGTGTGTTATTTAATTTTCTACACTTTATTTTATGCACTTCATTTTCGAAGCATAGGAGTAGAAGTGAATTAATGGTTAGTTTGATTGTTCACTCAATCGTCTTTCTCCGTATCCCTCATTTTTCTTTTAATTTTTCTTTTCTCTACACTTGGCAATTTTGAAGTCCTCTTCATTGAGGTAAAAGAACTGTCAATACAATTGCTTGATAATTGGCTTGAATTTAATCTTAAGGATTTTTCAATCCTTGCTGGCACGCTCGCATTTATGGTATTTTCCTTCATAGGAAAAATAAGCTAACAAATAGTATGGGCTAAGATTTTCTTAAGGGAAGGGAGTTCTCTCCGGTCCATATCAGATTCGATGCCACTGTTAGGCCACTGTGGCCCACCACAGAGTCCACATCGAATGATTAGAACCATTCAATGTGTAGGACTCGTCAAGTATTTCATTCTTTGTCAAAAAAATCATGCTAATTGGATATCACATTTGAGTCAATAGTAAGTATGATTTTAAAAATAAATTATCGTAATCTAATTAAATGGCTAGTTATTTTCAATCAACATATTTTTTTACAAGAATACAGTATTCGACGAGTCATAAACATTGAATGATTTGAATCATCGATGTGGTGGTACACCTACAAAAGCGCAACATCACCTTCCAATTTCCAACTGAAAAAAAGTCTTGTATTTTTTTTTTTTTTTTTACCTATCAATATATAACTTGTGTGAATATGCATGAATGTTAACTATGTGGTGAGTGCATAAGTGGGTGTAACTTTAGGGCATAGTTATTTTAGTGCAGGGAAACGAACGAGTATTGTTTGAGGACTCGCCTAAAGTATACTTTTTTATGGTTACTAAATATTTAGTCATCCAAAGATTTGTTTTCATTTTATTTATTTTTAGCTACTAACTATTTAGTGGCTAAAAATATTTACTTTCTTTTTAGCTACCAATTGTTTAGTCGCCAAAAACATCATTTTATGTTTTTTTTTTTTAATAATTTGTCCACAACCTGTATGTATTCCGTGAAACTTTTACCATATATATAAACAAAACAATACATATATTATCAACCATTACACAATCTGCATCCATTTCATTTACAAGCATCCAGAAAGGAATAATTTTTAATGTCAAATTCCATACAAACCAAGTATTCCCAACCTAAACTAATAATTCGATACAAAATAGAAAATCATACGAAAACCATGTCCTTCATACATAAAAAATATATTCACTACGATACTAGATGACCATTTTGCATGGTACAAATTACCATGGTAATCGGTCCATAGACCTTCAAAAATTTCAATTAAATAGACAGTTGTAGGACTAAGTTATTTAAGCTTAAAGAGACCAGTAAATTTCATTTTCTGTAGAAAGATTTAGAATTTGAAAGATGTGATTTTGTCGGAGACCTATCATCTTACCATTGCACCACATGAGGCCAAAGCCATTGAGGCCACTCAACTTTCCTGAGAAGATTGAGAAAACATATTAGCATAAGATATGCAATACCTCACATATCAATGAGAAATGGAAAGATGTTTTAAAAAAATAAATAAATGTACCAATGCGAGCTACAGAAGCAAGATATATTGTTGTGCAGATATTCGATATAAAAACAATAGCATAGTTGTAGGAGTCAAATGACATGTCTTTGAGCTCCTACTACCAGTGCACCAAGTATAATTATTACCACACTGATGAGACGCTTGGAAGTTTCAAACGAGAAAGATGTCAGAAATATGAAATTTTATGGTAATCTGTTCAAATCCCAACTTACCTAGGATTAAAAAACATTGCACAACCAACTATTTTTTAAGCATTATGTTTCAAGAAAGGAATGATTCATATTGATCAAGAAGCACCATTAAATTAAGCTATTGTGGTCTATAATCAGTACAACCTGTGATATTAACCATCACTGTACAATGAAAGCAACATGGTAGTTTTATATGCTAACCATTTTATTCCTGTTATGTATACAATATATTTTCAACAATTCAATAAAAGCATTTTTAGAATTTGCATCATTATTCAATTTGAATCCACTTAATCTTGTACCTTTTTGTTGGAATTGGCTCTATATAAATGGAATCACAAAATCTAGAAGTGAGATATAAAACAAAAATCCTGAGGAAAAAAAAAAAAACAGAAGCACCAAAAAGCTATCACTGCTGGCTAATTCGCAATCAGTGAACCATAAGCACAGACATAATTTAGGAAGTTGGGATATGTATAGAATTGATTGTTAAAGACAAAGAATTAGAGAGTTATTAAATTCTCAAATTCAAGGATAAAATGATATATATAGACTAATGTAAAGTCATTTGGCACAAAATTCCAATGCCTAGATAACCAAATAGCATGCCATCAAAAAGATGCAAAAACTTTGAGAAAGATGCAATTTCCATGTAAGAAGAACAAGAAAAATAAATTTAAAAAATTGCATGCCATAAAAAAATTTTGGTTGATAGTGGTATAGTAAGGTGGCAATGTGTGTGGGGCTTTGTGTGTGCATGTGCGTGTCTCAAAATCAGAAATAGAAGGCTTCTCCATGCTTAATGATGCTTTTAGTAGGCTGCTATTATTGTTAGAGAGAAAAACATTCCAAGTGAGAAAACAAAAAACCCACCACTACATGTACACTTAAACCATTAGACATCATAATTGAAAGCTTGCTGGAATTTGGATATTTATAACCATCTATATTTGGTTGGCAATACTAATTGTATGTATATAACTCTTGTTGCTGCAATTGTGAATGCTAAAATCTTTGGTGATTCCATTTGTTTTAGTTTTCATATTAAGTTCACTACTAGTAATTGAATTTTTTGACACGGTAACTCTATCTTTTTCAACTCCTTATTGTTTTTGTTGTTATTTGTGCAGATTTGGTGATAGGATGAGCATATCTTCAATAGCATTATAAAAATATATTCACAATTAAGGCATCTTAGGGCCTGCTCTTAAGGACATGCGATGAACAAGTAGAAAGAGATTACGAATTTTAAGATTTTGACAATCTGTAATTGACAAAATGTCATTTTAGTAAATCATATGTAAGATCTTGACAATCTGTAATTGGCAATATGTCATTTTAGTAAATCATATGTAAACAACACTTGGCATCTCATGATCGCAAAGAATAAGCAACAATGCATATTAACAAAATAAGTTATCTCTCGCGGGTCTATACCAATAAAAACTCAAAGTTTACTCCTTTTTGATATGATTTTTCTGTTCAGGGCTTTCTCTCAATTATTATAACAATTTGTTCATTTTGTTTTCTTGTGGGTAAACTATATTTAAGCACTTTTGAATTATCATTTATTATAACTTCCATATTTCCTTGTTCTTTCTAATTCAATATAATCTGGGTTTGGTAGGTTTATTTGTATATAGACATATATATACATAATCTCATAATTTCCAAATTTTAATTCTACAACAAGTGCTTTAGTTTTCTTCAATCTGTTTTTGGTTCTATATTGTTCTTCGGTGTTTCTTTTTGGGAAGTTGTTAGTGAATTTAATGTTTTTTGGTGGTTTCTGCTAGCTTCCAACAAACAAAGAAAATAACTTTCTTATCTGTCTGAATCCAATTTTGGTTTCAAAATTCAAAACCCATATTGAAAAAAGGTATCTTTTGCTTTAAATAACCTTTAATCTTGAAACCCTTTCAAGTTCTAGATATCTGAAGTTGTGAATTCATCAGAATGTTCTGGTACTTTGACCATCAAATAATAGGCAGAATTTAAGTTATTGAGACCCATTAATTTGTTGGTTTATAAATTGGGTTCGGCTTAATCAGACAGTTAGTCAGGCATTTTGTCAAGCTTATAGTGTACATAATTTGTCTATTGCACTAATCCATATCCCAATATAAGACAAACAAGATGCTAGAAGATTACACATCAAAAACATACAGAGTTGGTTACAAAGTACCTGTATCTTTATTTCGGCAGCACGACGACGATGGTGATAAAGCGGGGAGTTGGCGTAGGCTTTGTACCTCCGATGATTTCCTCTGTTAATAGGCCACAGTGAGAGCAGTGGCTGATGATTTCGTTCAAATAGGACACACCGAGTAGGAAATTTCTAGGATCAACCATCAATCTTCAAACGGTGCGAACAAAATAGCCACCTGGTTCAACTGATATTCTCTTTGCACAAGAAGGGTGAAATGAACAATAACATAGCGTTATATTCAATTGATGTGTATGCTTTTGTTCTTTTAGGTCATGTTTGATTCACAAGACAATAGTAAAGTATTAATAATCCTATTAAATTAGTGTGGTATTCATTATCCAATTGAATTAATATCCATTGGATTAATAATCCCACCCCTACCCCATTACTAATAATCCTACAAATTTGTTGGATTAATTATCCATTGGATTAATTATCCTAAACCAAAATGTTAAAACAAACATAAGATAATTGGGCCCACGGATTAATAATCCTAATCCCATGCTCTAATCCACCCAATCAAACATGCCCTAAGTGGCAAAATAGCTGGCAAGGCCAGAGTCAATGTATTTCCCCCCATTATCAGAACGCAAAATTTAGACAACTGCCCCAAACTGAGTGCAAATCATTAGACAAAAATTTTGAAATACAAAAAAAACCTCACATTTGTCCTTCATAAGATACACCCAAGTGGTCTTAGAACAATCATCAGTGAAGGTGACTAAATCTGGGCAACTAGACTTGGTTCCTAAGCTCAACCAACCTGCTCCAAATCTTCCCAACACAACCCAAGACTCAAAATAAGAAAATAATGAATGACAACAACAATTATACAATGACGGAATCTACGGAACCTAAGTCCGGATACAAAAATCAAATGGGAAAAGACCGGGGTCGCTATATTGTGAATTCATCAGAATGTTCTGGTACTTTGACCATCAAATAATAGGCAGAATTTAAGTTATTGAGACCCATTAATTTATTGGTTTATAAATTGGGTTCAGCTTAATCAGACAGTTAGTCAGGCATTTTGTCAAGCATATAGGCCATGTTTGTTTAGGTGGACATGAGCTTGGGATTGGACTAATAGTCCAATAAAATTATTAATCCAATGTTTGGTTAAACAATTGAAGGACGGACTAATTATTTTAAACTTGACTATTAGTTAAGATAGGATACATAATCCAACGGATTCGTAGTCCTAAGACTATTAGTCATGGGAATGTTAATCCAGTCCGCCCAAACAAACATGGCCATAGTGTACATAATTTGTCTATTGCACTAATCCATATCCCAATATAAGACAAACAAGAAGCCAGAAGATTACACATCAAAAACATACAGAGGTGGTTACAAAGTACCTGTATCTTTATTTCGGCAGCAAGACGACGATGGTGATGAAGCGGGGAGTTGGTGTAGGCTTTGTACCTCCGATGATTTCCTCTCTTAATAGGCCACAGTGAGAGCAGTGGCTGATGATTTCGTTCCAATAGGACACACCGAATAGGAAATTTCTAGGATCAACCATCAATCTTCAAACGGTGCGAACAAGATAGCCACCTGGTTCAACTGATATCCTCTTTGCACAAGAAGGGTGAAATGGACAATAACATAGCGTTATATTCAATTGATGTGTATGCTTTTGTTCTTTTATATAATAGTTATAGATAGGTTACAAAAATGGCAGCATAATGTCTATTAGAACCCTCTGGTTTGAAATCGGATCTGAGGAATAAGGAATTAGGAGTTACCAAAAGAAATCCTGATTGAGAATGAAATCTTTGTTGTCATTTGCATTGGAATCAATGTCGATATTGAGGGAGTAGATTACTAAAACAATAAATTCAACTCAATAAATCATATAAAACCCTAGAGCAAGAGTGAGAAATGGGGAAATAGAAGAAGAAGAAGAAGAAGAAGAGAGAGAGAGAGAGAGGGACAAAGGAAATGAACCTGTTTGTATTGCGGCGGTGGTAGTGGCGATGTGCGACACATAGTGAGCAACAGTGGTGAGGTTAGGTGAGGTTTGGTGGTGACTAATTCTGTGTGTGTGTGTGTGTGTGTGTGTCAATGAGTGAGTGAGAGTGAGAGTGAGAGAGAGAGAGAGAGAGAGAGAGAGAGAAAAGAATGATCTCAAATTTGGATGCCAATCTCAATTTTTTTTCCACTGAAAATTTTGTAGACGATTTGGCGACTAAAATAGTTTTTTTTTTGTCGAAAAATGTTAATTTATATTGATTAAATTATTTAGCAGCTAAAACCTTAACTAACGGTGACTAGATATTTTTTAGTCGCCAAAAGTAATAATTTGGCGACTAATTTTTTGGTAGTCAAAGACTAATAGTAAAATTATGGCTATTATTTGGCGACTAAATATTTTTTAGTTGGCAAAAATTAGTCTACCCAGACTAAAGCAATTTTTAGTAGTCTAAAAACTAGACTACGCCGACTAATATTTTTTTTAGTCACCTATTATGACATATTTAGCAATTATATTTTTTTAGTTGCCAATAGATAACGTACCTTGACTAAAAAGATTTAGTAGCTAAACCCTAACCAACGTCGACCAAAATAATTTTTAGTCACCAAAAATTGCACATTTGGCAACTAAAAGTCTTTTAGTCACCAAAGTTGGTCACCAAAAGTGTAAATTGTTATAGTGATTCTTTCCTTATGCTTGATCATGAACTGAGTGCGGGCTAAAAAACGTGAACATCCTTTCTCTCTAAACCCTGAAAAATTATGTCTTTAGAGAGCTACAATGACACACATATATATAGGCTACAGCAAGAACCATTAGGATTAGATTAGGATTAGGATTAGGACTCCTTATGGAATTAGGAAAACTTAATTCAACCTGAATTATAATTCCTAATTTTATAAATTATAATTCATACCACTAAAGAATTATAATTGCACTTTATCTTAATCTCCAAATTATATTTCAAGCTCCACATTATTAAATACTTATTTATTTCTCCACGTTAAGATTACTAATACCCGTCAATTAAATAAATTACTAACAATTAATTTAATTGACTTCTTAATATTTCCTACAGACCTTCTACTTAACTTATTTGATAAGTTGGATACAAAATCCACCTGCAGGGTTTAACATAATCAAAAATTATATGCTTCTTCAAAGGTGTATTATAAATTCCTAAACCGGGACGTGGATTCTGTCAATAATCAATCCACCATACACATAGAGTGATCACCCAACTCGCTGAGCTTATTAACCTATAAAGAATCTCACTCTTTTATGAATCAAATTGACCAACACTAAATGCACGTGATTATTAATTATTTTCAGATTAAGAGCATCATGGCACGGCCTTGGTTATTTCTAAGCTATCCGTGCAACGCTTAAACAATCGCAAGTCTTATTTGATGATGCTAAATTATCCTAACTCACAAGTTTGCAAGAAAAAGAAGTAAGAAGACAAAGAAAGTTTGAGAGAATGCCTTTGTATTCACCTTAAAAGAACAACTCTTGGATGGTGTTTGCGAACAAATGAGCTCCTTTCCTATTTATAGGCATCTTAGGTCTTCTCTAGAATATTCCAAAACATACAAGTAAGGAGCAATGGAGAAGCTTATCATAAAAGCTTTCCTTATCCTACAAGAGGGTTTTAGTATCCTCCCTAAAAATATCTATACAAATATATACCTCATTGTAGAAGTATGTACAAGGGTCCTTTACCACCTCCATTTCAATAGGAGGTTCTAGAAGCTTCTATTGTTTCCATTCCTCCAATCTTCACTTAAATGCTTTGGAACCTATTCTAGATCCTTCCATGTACATTATAGAATTATGTACCATATTTTCACATTTTTTCAAGTCTTCCAGGAGCTTTCGGAATATTCCATTAGCCTCCCTTCCTTGAGACTTTCTCTTGGTAGACAATTTTGTCAAGATAATCTAGAGGGACATGACAATAAGCACTCATCATAACTATGGGATGTAAATTGCCTTATCTAATCAATACATGAACAATTATCCCAAGACGGACCTGCTCAATACACACAAAGTGTACTAGCACAATGAGTTAAACTTCACTAATTCCTATGCTACAGTCATATTGATGGTGTGTCCAAATCCATCTTAGATTGTGAACCACTTATATGCTATAAGAACTAGTCATTTGATCTTCCGTGTGTAAGCCATACTCTACACACTAGATCACATACTTCATAGAATAAAAGGCACACGCAGAACACTAGACAAATAATATAATGCAAATATTACTCGTAATGATTCTCATTAAAATTGGAATAGTTGATATTATTAAAACCAAATACTAAATTCCATTACACAAAACATGGCTTTTAGTATTTTTTTTTTTTTCCCTAAAAATCTCCCACTTAGAGTCAAAGCCATGCTGCCATGAATCTCACTCCAATTCCCTCTACATGACTATCAAAAGTCTTGGCCAGTAAGCCCTTCGTAAAAGGATCTGCCAAGTTGTTTTCTGATGCAATCTTGATCCCACTGCATCTCACTGCTGGAAAACAGGCTTTTAGTGGCGTTTAAAAAATGCCTCTATATCTATCAAAAACGCCGCTAATTCCTTTTGTGGCGTTTAGTACCAAACGTCGAAGCTGCGGCCGTTGCTGTAGCTTTGCGACGTTTTAAAAACGTCGTGATATTAGTATAGGAGGCGTTTTAAAAAACACCGCCAAATGTCCCACTATACACCCACTGACGTCACCAACGATATTTAGCGACTTTTTTGAAACGCCGTCGTATCTGTTTTAAAAATATGATTGTTACTTTGAGGGTTTAGGAGGCGTTTGTAGAAACGCCGTCATATCTCTCTCTTTTTTTTTTTTTTGAAATTGTGCTAATTTTATTTGATTAAATTAAAAAGAATACCTATAATAAAACTAACATATAAAATATTAACTCCCATTCAAATACCTATAATAAAACTAACATAAAATAATAACTCCCATTCAAATAACAAATGAAGCATTAATTCAGTTTCTCTTTCAATTAATATCCAATCACCATTACCCACAAAATAACGTATCCAAAATCCAAAAATCATGTTTCAACATTAACCACAAACTAACATTTATCCAAAAATCATGTTTCAACATTAACTACAAACTAACATATGTCATTAACCACAAACTAACATATATCTAAAAATCATGTTTCAACATTAACCACAAACTAACATATATCCAAAAATCATGTTTCAACATTAACCACAAACTAACATTTATCCAAAAATCATGTTTCAACATTAACTACAAACTAACATATGTCATTAACCACAAACTAACATATATCTAAAAATCATGTTTCAACATTAACCACAAACTAACATTTATCCAAAAATCATGTTTCAACATTAACTACAAACTAACATATGTCATTAACCACAAACTAACATATATCTAAAAATCATGTTTCAACATTAACCACAAACTAACATTTATCCAAAAATCATGTTTCAACATTAACTACAAACTAACATATGTCATTAACCACAAACTAACATATATCTAAAAATCATGTTTCAACATTAACCACAAACTAACATATATCCAAAAATCATGTTTTAGCATAGAAGCTGTAGTCATCACTGGTTTACATGCCTGCATCAGAACATAAACTGCAATCAGATTCACCAAAATAAACACAATTGAAGAATTTGTACCCAATACATATAAACAATACTTAAAACTTGAAGAAACACTAACAAGAAGATTTTATCACATACCAAGAAGCACTATAAAAAATCAATGCAATTTTGCAAAAATAAGCCTACTATGAACTTCAGCATACTCATCAAGGTACAAAGGTTTACCAATAACATTACTCAATGCAAGTAGAATTTTTTCTTCTCTGTCTTATGAATAAATAAATAAAAGCAAGTGTTGCAACATGCAATTGATTACCTACAAGTTCATAACAATCCCTGCAATCCAACATGCTGCTAGTTGTTTGGTAAAACTGGAGAAGAAAAATTAACAAAAGATAGTGAATCAACTTCCCTTTTACCAGAACCATAGTAAAATGTCACACAAATCAACATTTGCTGATACATGAGCTAATTATAATTTAAATCCACTGATCTCCACAATATGATCTCATTCTAAGATTTTTGAAGTATAAAAATTTCATATGATGCAAAATTGTGTGAAATTTAAAATCACTAGTTAACAACAGGCAATTAAATATTAGGTATTGATATGCAGTTTCAAATTCAACAATCTTATACATGATATGTTCCCTTTCTAAGTGTAAAACTAAGCAAGCATTATCCATTCATTCTCATGTTATTTTTTCATTAGTACCCAAAACATCATAGAGTTCGAGCTTTCAAACTTCTGTTGAGCCTTTATACAGAGTCAAGGGATTCAATTTTATTTAGGGAAAACTTATATTTGATTTCTCATTATGCCAAAACTGATAGCTTCTGTGATAAAATCATTTCCAAAACAGTGGACATCTTTGAAGGGATTGATTGCTATTAAAACAGGTCCTGCTTTACTCTATAGGAAACAAGCACAAACATAGGTCAAATAAGAGGAAAAGGGAAACTCAATTTGATGGGAGGGAAATTAAGTATCACAATCATGCATACATACATAAATAATATCATGACAATATCTATACTGAAGGTTGTGAAGAACTGATGGCTCGTTCAAATAACTAAGCTGTATGAGATCATCCACACCCTCAAGGACATCTGGATTTGCAGGTAAGAGCTCCCCTGTTGACACTTTCACCGCCTGTAGTAATAACACAATATAAGTGCTATTGAACAGTTGTAAGTTTTAAGAAGGGAAACAGAACATGAGAACTCACAGTTCCATCCAAGAGCAAAACAGTTGATTTCTCCCCTGAAGTTGATTGTATCTGTCCCAACTCCCACTGCCTATTTGGGAGCCGACACCAAACACGAAGTTTCTGAAACAAATTACTGTGAGTAAATGATTGATGACAAAAATGAAATCCTCAAGAAATACTTGCGCACTGTGCAAGCAGAATAGTATATTGAAGACTTGCACGGAAAGAAAAGGGGCTGGGAGAACAAATTAAAATTATCACACGGGTGACCCGAACATCTATCATATGTCCAATCAAAACTCAAGC